AGGAATGCTCTCCAACACCCCTTCCAGAGACTCTAAAAAGGGTGGGTACTCTGAACTGCCGCTCTGCGCATAAACGCAAACAACAGTCAGAACCCGTCCACCCACCCGAAGGCGAAGGGAGGCTACCCTCTTGTCCACTGCGGTAAACCCCAATGTACAGGCGCCCAGCCAGGGGGCAATAAGTATGCCCACCCCCGCTCGGCGCCTCTCCCCGCAGGCAACTCCAGAGTGGAAGAGGGTCCAACCCCCTTCAAGGAGACTGGTTCCAGAGCCCAAGCCATGCGTCGAGGTGAGCCCGACTATGTCTAGCCGGAATTTCACAACCTCGCGCACCAGCTCAGGCTCCTTCCCCATCAGAGAGGTGACATTCCATGTCCCAAGAGCTAGCTTCTGCAGCTGAGGATCGGACCGCCAAGGTCCCCACCTTTGGCCACTGCCCAGCTCACAATGCACCCGACCCGTATGGTCCCTCCTATGGGTGGTGAGCCCATTGGAAGGGGGACCCACGTGCCTTGTTCGGGCTATGCCTGACCAGGCCCCATGGGTATAGGCCTGTCCACCAGGCGTTCGCCATCGAGCCCCACCCCCAGGCCTGGCTCCAGGCTAGCCTAAAGGATTAACATATATGCCATAACAATTTAAGGTCAATTAACACTAAACTAGATGAAATGTTTATAAATGTTTCAACTTTATTGCATGTAGCCCACAATAAGCAATCAATCTATATGATATTTATGTATTTGTGTATGTATGTATATATGTAGATATATACACACACACACACATACACACACACTACTGTTCAAAAGTTTGGGGTCACTTAGAAATTTGCTTGCTATTGAAAAAAAAATAAAATAACATCAGACTGATTGGAAATACCGTGTAGACATTGTTAGTGTTGTAAATGCACAACTGCATACACTTTTGCACATACATAGATTTGTCAAATGTTTGATGTTTCCTGCTACGGGAGGCTTTGCACACAAGCATTTCACTCACTTGTATAGCACCTGTGTGCTGGTGACAAGTGATGTGACATTAAAAGTTATGTGATTTGATTTGAAATGACTATCATAGCTGGAAACCCCACACATTTGAACAGTACTGTGTGTATGTATGTATGTATGTGTGTGTGTGTGTGTGTGTGTGTGTGTGTGTGTGTGTGTGTGTGTGT